ATGATAAAACAGCGCTGCTTTACCCCACATACGCACGACCGGAAGCAGCGGAAGCGCTCGACTGTGGCATTATAAAAGCTCCGCTGCTTTCGAGGTGTGTGTCGTGCTAGTTCAGTGGCCTCGTTTCGCTTTGACGGCTGTCAGCCTCACCCTGCTTCATTCTACTACGTTAATAAATCATTAGTTCATCCATGAACATGATTTCTACCTGAGTCCCGTCGGATTGCATCGGCTGTGGGGATGAAAATGACAAATCCCATGACTCCACACTTAGTCACGGCGTCATCAAACTACGCCTTTAGCTCTTTGTTTATTTTGAATTCGCGCCCTCCAGCGGCAAAAATGACATATTGTGCCTTTAAGTAAAAATATGTTTTTCGTATAGGCCTATTTATTCGTTTTATATATATATATATATATATATATATATATAGCCTAGCTTTATTATGTTTTTCTCCGCTCGCAGAAGCGCTGCAGGTGCATGATGTGATATGACCATGTGAATCCTCATGTTCTGTTGTTTGCTGCTTTTTGCGCATGTAAAATTAATCCCCGGGAAACAAATGTTAGTATTTTTAACGGGTCATAGACACTTATCCTTTCTAATTTAATTCAATTCTAAATTAAAATAATCTTGTCGGTTAATGGTTAATGGTTAACAATCGGTTAACGAGCGTCGGTTGTCGGATAGGAATTTCCCTTATTTTTTGGAATGTCCTTGAGAACCTGGTATAAATAAGAACAACACTTCCTATTCCAAAGTGTTTTCAAACAAACTCAAAAGCTTGCAATCATTCTCTGAATGTTTTTTCACTTAAATAAATAATTTTCAACGTTTTTGAAATCTCTTTTGAAAAGCTGATATTGCAGCAAACTCTTCGAACCATCCAATTAACTCTCGCAATAAAACTCAACAATAAATTCATATGTACAAAACATCTTCTCCCTGTGGTCAAACCATTCAAATATGTTTCCAGATACACATGCAAACACATACACTACACATACACAAGCACAAGAACATGACGAACAAATTAAAATTCCATAACCTGATGTAATACTACACTCCAGAATACTGTACTCAAAAAGGAAACAAAGGGAGGGCTCACAATTCAAATACTGATTATAACATTTCAGAAACATACTATGTTTTATAAAACATGCAATTCAGTGCATACACGATACTTTACATTTTGTCCATAACCTCAATTTCAGAAAAAAAGGAAAGCTCATTTCAATTTTTTTTCCCAGAAAAAAAAAAAGCCTAGTCTGTCATAAAACCAGATGTCTTACTGTGAAGATGCAGCGACCGGTGCGGTCGAAGGTGACACAGTACACAGATGACAGGTGTCCCAGAATTCTCTTGTGCATCTTCATATGTTGGTAAACAGCTGTCGGAACCAACTGACCCAACCGATATGAGCCATTCAGCCTCCGACTGTATATTGTTTCCACTATAGCACACAAGAGCAAATACATTTGAATCTTCAGCTTCCTAAGTAAACTCTTAATATAACCATTTCATTTACAACAAATAACGTATTTTTAATGCATGGTTCACAAATTTCAAAATGTTCTACTTTCTTTATTTGAAAATTTAAATTCTATTTCAATAATCAAATCAATGAAAAACTGTCTTTAAAAGGTATGAGGGTGTGTAGGAATGTTGTTTCTTCCACTGGAATACATCAACAAAACAACCAATAAAAGGCGACTTACCAATATTGGGCGGGCTTCCATAGATGACTGGCGGCTCGGGTGGCCTGCCACAGTGCAGGGCTGCGAGGGCAGACCCCTTCCATACCACGTGCTTACAACCTTGCAACAAACACGTGGGATTGTCACTAAACATACACTGTAGACCTGACTGAATCCCTAGGCACACTTACACAAACTGGTATTGGCACACACATCCACTGCAAAGCAATATATAATTATATACTTTTGTTTTATTTCTATGAAGGCCAGTTGCAGTATTCTTGATAATGTTATAGACATGCTAAAGTTTTAATTGCTATGGAATCTGTTTTAATTTGAAGGCAGCATTATTATTAATTCCCCCACTACTGATCAATTATCATTCCTCGTTCTTTCACATACTTGCTTATATATCTGACTCAGTCGTGAGATGCCATTTGTAAACATTAAAAGATTAAATTAAATACTTTAATGAATTTGCCTAATGTTAAGATTTTTCCCTGTCATCAGCTTTTTACATAGAAAAAACAGTGGCACAAAATACACATTTGTTCAGTTCATTATTACATTGCTTTACAGCAGTTATGGTGTTAATACTGTAAAAAAAGACATTCAAAACATATTTTTTGCTTAACTTGGCTGTAAACTGGTTAACTTGCTTATTAAAAAATGGTTGATGAATTCATTTAATCAGCAAATAGAAACACTCACTCTTGTTTGTACGTAGCACTGACTGGCGTCCAGCTCCCAGCAGTGAATTAACTCCAGGTACACTGGCTGGCACTTCTCTCTCTAAAAGAGGACTCACTCGCTCACACACCTGCAACAGGTGATCTGGAGAAATGTGCCTGTACAATTTGACCTATAAACACAATCACAAAAGTGCATTAAGGCAAATTGATCTACATTTGTATTTAAATATATTTCTAATATAATGTACAATATGCTCAATTATTTTGTTGTAATAATGCATGCATAGAAATTAGATATTGAAAAAGGAAACAAAAATGCAAGAACATGTTTTTGTGCAAGTATCATGCAAACATTTTGCAACCTTGCAGTTAATTTACAATCTTAACGCTAATCTACATAAATACCTTTTTAAATATAATTAGTTATATAATTCAATAATTACATTTTCTACTACTACTACATTCAAATTTAATCAAAGCATGTCATGTGAATGCTTTCATTCAAAAATAACCAGTATCACAATGAAATTATCTTAATGAATGTGCATTTAAAAAAATGTAGATAAAATAAAGGTATATACTTAAAAAGGCATTTACCAGACATTGACAGTGCACACATAAAAAAAACGTTCAGATGATAGCATAATTACAATCTTATAGAGGATTATATTCGACACTTCGTTTTAAAACAATACAGTGTTACTGCCGTTTTGCAAAGCGCTTTTTATCTTTCCATATTTTCCCTAGAGATGAATCTAATCTAACGTTACAGTGTAAAATGTTCTCCCCCCTGCGCAACGCGTCAGTCCGGGCATCTTTTATAAAGCCTGTTCAGCAGATCCAGCTTCTAAAGGCAGACCAGTAATTAATGTGGCTTTAATAGCATTTAGCGTCATCCTATTGGTCTACACACACACATACAAACGCGCGCACACACCGCTTAGCTAATGACTGTATGAGTAAAGCGATGTTAACATTGAGTGAATCAGGGTATGCGTATTATAACATTAATCATAAATTAAAATCTAAATGCATCTACAGTTTTGTTAATGAATCATCGTTCCTACTTAGTATACTGTTTTGCTGTTAATGTATTACATATTAATTACTTTGCGGACAACACAGTAATTACAAAGAAAAATTTGGAATAAAAAAATTTATTTAAAAATGCATATATATATTTTTTTAAATATTAAAATATAATTTATTTTTCATTACAATTTTAATGCAATATTGTTATCATCGTCATTACTTAATCTTAAGAATAATGATAATTAATGCAGATTGCATATCTCATTAAAAAATGTAATTGACAGCGCCAACATCAGGCGGTAAAGTCTCGTGCGCGTTATGCCTACCCACAATCTGCAGACACGGGCTTTAACATCTCCACACACGGCAGTGAAATCATCCACGAACGGTCACATTCGCACACACACACACACACACACACACACACACACACAACACACACGCATTCACTCACTATAATACGCTGACTGCGATCTAGTGGTGTAGCAGCGCGCGGGATCCAAACGGTCTCATTCGCGCGCACACACACACACACACACACACACACACACACACACACACACAACACACACGCATTCACTCACTATAATACGCTGACTGCGATCTAGTGGTGTAGCAGCGCGCGAGATCAGCCGCGAGACCATCGCGAATACAAAATAACAGATTATCGCTACAATGTGTGTGAATTTCACCGTGCAAAAGAGACGACGGCGATACAGCAGTAACAGCCTTACTTACTCTGTGATTAACAGACAGTCGAGTCTATTAGTTACGCAACTGATATATATTGGGGGCTGGCCATAATAGGGGCTGGATCAAAACACACTAAGTTTTAAAATCAAAATATTTTTGTATCTCTCACTTCGAAAGCGAAATCAAACTGTCTTCTCAAGTGATATTCCTAAATGAAATAGCGAGCTACTGGAAAACGCAAATAATCCGATTAATCATTTATTTACCTTTCTAAATATCGTAATTAATAAATTAATTAATATGTACTCACTTCGATGTACCTCTCATTTGTATTATCGGCCTCAAGTCTCTCAGTGCTCTCTGTTCAAAAATAATTTCCTCCGAAGGAACAAATTGTCAGGGCCACTTAAAAAAATCCCCAGTACTCTGCTAAGATCCTCTACGACTCCGGCTTTGTTGCTTCCTGCTCCAAAAGCTTAGTTTAAGTGAAATAAACTAAGGTAAAATGAGTATTTTACCCTGACTATGGTTGTATTACATGGAGCAGAGCGCCTCCATCCCGCCCCGCTTTCAGTCTCTGGCGCACTGGTCCCTCCTCCCTCCGCTCCCTTCCCCTTATAGCACTACATTCATGACGTCTCTTTATTTCTACATCAATTTTAACATCTATTTACACCTTGCGGACAGCACTGTGACAAAACTCACATCCCTGAGGTCAGGCCAGGCTCTGGGTTCACCCGTTGACGGTCCTTTCTAGCCACGAGGTTGGTTTTTGCCCGTGTGTTCGGGTTAAGTTTTTTTCCTGATTTAAAAATTGCGGGAAATTCGATTTCTTATTTTGCTCTCTAAAAAGTTTTCTCTCGGTTATAGGGATGCCTTACCAAATTTTCGTAACTCCCTGGGTGTTCTTTGCCAGTCCAGTCAATCCTTTTGGGTAACAGCTGTAATGGAAAAACAGTGTTAAACAGGTCTAGGTAAATTCTAAGGGGTCGATTTTGTGTTTTAAAGAATAAATATGAAATCTGCGTGAAATTAACAGCCTAAAGTGCAGCGCAGTGAGATGCGACGCGAGTAGGGCTCGCGCTGCTTACCTCCTTCTCCTGAACCTCCCGTATCAAGGTCTGAAAAAAGCACAAAAATAGCAAATTACGCTTCGATCTTTTCCAGAAATGTCGTTTACAGTCCTAAATTACAAAATCACCCACCTCTGCCGCGTCCTGACAAGGTCCAGCTTCTAAAAACCGGGCTATTAGGAAGTACAGTTCTGCGAGATGGGGGAGAATGAGCTACATTAGCTTTCAAGAAGGACGTGGTGGGAAAGGCAGATGTACATACAAATATTCCAACGTCACCTTTCTCAATCCCTTTTACTCACCGGATTTCAACTGCGCGATGTGTTTACGCTCAGCAGCCATGTTTAGGGTTGTTTTGGGGGTGAAGGAGAAGGTGTGTGGCCGTTCTGGGAAGCGGGTATCGCTAGGCTGCCCTATAGTTGTCAGTGTTTGTTCACCAGGAAGAGCTGCGCCTCCATTCACCCAACACACACAGAAAGCAGATCCGGCACGTCGCGCGAGGCTTCCGCGCTCTCGCAAAATAGTCCGCTCTCAGGAACAACGTGCCACGCGTCGATGCGGACAAACATCCCGAGCGCCGGGGCGTTTGGGGTGGACAAGAAACGATGTTTCTAAAACGTGCAGTTTAATGCACCTTAAGGTGTTCGTGAATATTTTGGGTTTCAGTTTACGCTCCTCACCCCCTCCTCCCTCCAAAAAGCACAACCCCCTTTGCGCAGGAATACACGAGCAGAGTCTAGTACGTACGCGCAGGACTGTGCTGTCAGGCAGGCTGCGTTGCTAACGCTGAAGGGGAAAAAGAAGGCAATGGTGGCTCATTTTATGCAATAATTTAACTGTTCATTCAGGCTACGGTTATTTGTCTAAGTCCCATACCCTGAGCTTTAATGGCGCCTCTTGTTCCTCGGTCTGTCGACCTTGCAGGCAGCGAAGCTCGGATCTCACACCATGTTTCTCTCACAACAGCATATTGAAGCTTACTATCAAACACCTGAAAACTACCCCGTATTTGTGTGGTTGTAAAGTGTATAATAAAGTCCATTCGTTTTCATCTTAAACCAGATTTATTCCAAGGAACCCACCCCCTCTTTCGGTAGTGATTTGTCCTCCATTTCTTTCCCAAAACGAGCGGGCAGTAAAATGGGGGAAGGGTTGTAAACAGGGAGAATGTAATGAATTAAACCTTGTAAATTAAAGGAATCCAGTGACTAATGGCAACACCAGACAAAATAGGACATTGATTGGTGATCTTATTTATATATTTATATGCCATAAGGTCTATCTATTTTAAAGAAACAACATACAGACTGTGTGTCTATGTCTAGTTAAAGGTTGTGTAAAACAGTTATATCAATTGGACAAAGTGTTTAAATACTTCTGTCCACAATACTATATTAATTACATATACGTATTATACTTTTTTTTTTCTTCTTATCTAAGCAATCAAAGGCATAAGCAAGCAGTGAGGATGTCTGCTTTAAATGAGCCAGCTGAAGTTGTGCTTTATATGTCCTATGGACTTAATTTGGATAAATGTATTTATGAGTAAGTCATACAACATTGAAAAGGCCTGTTGAGTTCTCACCTTCTGTAAGGATAGTGCTGAGTAAAGTAGTTGTGGAGTTCATGATATAACCAGTCTAAATACTAAGTTCCCTAATTAGTTATCCATGTTAAATAAACACCACCAGCTGTTTTACAGCCAATGCTTGTGAAGTTCAAGAGGCTAAACCTACTTTTTTTGCTTTGACCGTATTTTTCAAGTGATGCAAATGAGAGTTCAAACTGAGGCTTAATGTCCCAGCAACCATTAAAGAATATAATAACATAGTTTTATGGACTATTTTTATAGATTTTTTCATGTCGTTTTAAATATTTTGAATGTATTTTCATGTGCATATGATGCACATTTACATATACAATTCACATATACAATAGTGTTCGTGAATTTTGAATGTGTGTATGCACTTACCAATATCATCCCCAAAAGGGAGTTAAATCGGACAAAACCGTTCTTTAAGGATATTCAGGGTGTCCCTTTTTGATAAATAAATAAGTAAATAAAAAAATCTAAAACTGCAAAATAAATTAATAATGAAAAAATTGTATGCTTAGTTAGCATTGTATTTATGTATGTCTGCACACACTGACATTGCCATAATCACAAATTCAGATAGATTTACTGCACTCTTGTTTTAAGGGGTGAGGCATCAAAGTGAGGCATTAGACAAAGGAAGCGTTTGAGGTTTGCCTTCCCTTTTTTTTCTCTGAGCTAAAAAGGTGACTTTGATACAATCTGTGACTTTTTGTTTATAAAGCTGATACAAACTGCTATGTGCCCTTGCTAGGGAAATCCTGAGTTCAACTGTTACTTTTAGCTGCATTTGGTGGTGTAACACTTGCTAAACTACTGACACTAGGGGTGTAAGTGTGGAGGAGAAAAGCAGTCAGATACTTAAGAACTACATGAATATAGCAGCTTTGGCTTCGAGGCTACTTAAGAAAAACTGATCCAACTTATCACACTTTTAAATAACGGTGGTGATCTGGTGAAGTGGCTGAGTAGGCATTAAACTTCACAAGTAGGTTCTGACAATAGAAAAAAACCCACTCAAAGTGTGACTCATTTTGATCCAGAACACTAAAAATACAAATCATAAACACCTTTTTAAAATATATCGGAGTAAAGATTCTAAAATGGAAGAATGTTGTTATTTTGTGATCAGTGGCATGCAGTATTTTTTCTTGCCACTGGAGGTCAGGACTATCATTTCAGTTGATGAGTTCAGGGGCCAAACATGGGTCAAAGGTTATAGGGGTAAATAAATCAAGTTGGAGGGTTTTGCCTCCTTGGATCTCAGTAGATTCAACAGAGCATTCCAGACTGTTATAGTTTCCTAAAATACTAATTATTAAAGCGTGATCATTAAAAACATTTCACAAAGAGTAACCTCTAATAATAATCAGTAAATATTTAAAGTGAGGGATACAATCATGTAAGCATCAACCACAACAATTCTGTATCAGAATCAATCAGTACATAAATCTGGGCTTAATTCTATACTTCAATGTATAATACATAATATATCTCTATTTTGTTGATGCATTATTATTTGGTCTTACATATAGTTTTCATGGTATGTTTATTTAAACTTAAGCAATGTGGATGATAAGAATAATGCGAATAAAGTTTCCTGTTCCATTTTATTTGGAGCACATTTACACTAATATTAAGTGTTAAAAAAATATTTTAAGCGTCTGTTCATGAAATTCAGTGGGTCTTCTTAGTAAAGGCATCCTTATCACAAACAAGTAACAGTAACACTATAAACCGTTCCTGACAAGTGTAGATCCTCTAAAACAACCCGATCACTTTTAAAAAGAAAGAAGCACTTTCATTTCTGTACTTCAGAAATATGTTGCCTGTGTGATCATTAAACAGATTTATTACTATATATGGGGCTTTTGGTCTATTGCCTGGGCCTGCAGAAAGACAGGAGTCCAGACCAACGAGTGTTGTCAGTCCATTCATTTCCTCTTCCCTGTTCCTGCCTCCCCATGGCATTGCTGACCTTTCACTTTCTGACATCAGCAGTTGTATTTAGTGAGTGTGTGTTTAGGGTTACATGTGTCTGTGTATAAAGAACTATACTGAAAGGCCTTTGTAGCTTTAGACTAAACACCCTGGACCCTCAAGAGTTTTCCACAAAGTTAACTATGTTATAGTGTTGCCATTTTTTTTCTTTCTTCCTATGAATTGCATTTTTGGAATTAATAGCAGTCTTTATAGTAACCAGTAATGTGCTGTTTTAAATCATGTGACATTTTATATTCTTTTTCAATTTTTCCTGAGGAACACACATGCTGAAAGTGCGCTACGTTTCTTTTACATCTGGATTTCTGATGCATCATTGAGAAGTTAAATACCTGTTTTCATTCACAGATGTTTATCTAACATCATTTTACAATTAATTGAGAAGATATGAGCCACAGTGGAAAAATAACCATGTTTTTATGTGAATTTCATCATGTGCAGTTTCATAGTGGCATCAATTGTTACTGGAAAAAAGTGATAGTTGTTTTTGAATAAATAACATGCTTATGATTTGTATTTCATGTGTTCACAAAAAAAAAAAGAGTAATATTATAAAGAAATAATAGATAAGTTTCACTCAATTCTAATTACAAATGTATAAATAAATCAATTCATGAAAGTCGACATTAAAGAAAGATTGGTACTAATTTGACCATTTTCCATTGTTGTTCCAATACTGTATTTAATTACATATTTACTTTATTTATTAGATTTTTCCCCCCCAAAATAATTAAGTTGAGCTATTTTGGCAAAATAGTGTTTAAAAAAAAACAAAATTTCTAAAATTATTTTTACAAAATTCTAAAATTAGTCAAAAATATTAGACCAATACTAAGCCTGCTTTGAACTTTTGTATAGACAGCCTAGTACTTGTGGAACATTAAAGCAACAACTAGTAAGAAACACACAAGAGTCAATTGACCGTTTATTCATCTTTTATTTGAAAACATTTTACAGAGAGTATCTCTTAAACCAGTTCTGTGGACTTGTACATCTTTCTGAGATTCAGTTCTTGTAGTTTTCCTAACCTTCTAGCACAAAGCACCACTTGTTTATTGCTATGGATTTCTGCCACTGTTAAGGGTCATGTTTAATTCAGCAATTTTAAAAGAACACACTAGAATCTCAAAATGCTACAAAGGAGATAAAAAAGCAAAGGGTTACTATTTAAATCTCTCGGCCCCATTTGCTCCCTCTTTCTGTATCTCTCGCTCTTTTTTATGATATTTAACCAATTAAATAACAAGACTCAAAGACAATAAAACCAAAGACTTGCACCTTAGTAACCATATATATGGAGCTAAGGATATGCGCTCTGGTGGCAAAAGATGAACTGGTTGCTTTTAACAGGTAGGATGTGACATGTTCCAAGTGGCTGCATTTGGCAGGCAAGCTGCTGGTGAAAATTTCAAGAATAACTGTTGCTTTTCCTTGAAATGAATCTATCTTTCTGTCAGATGAAAGAGAAGGAGATAGGTACGGTGCTTCAGCGGGGAGTGTGAGTCGACTTAGCTAAGGATATCTAGTACGGTAAGTCTAAAAAAAGTTTGCATTTTACAAAATACTCAATAGGAATAAAAAATGTTCTTTGTTATTCCAGAAAACAACTTCGATCACTCTTTCGCCTCAGCCTCAGTCTTGGGCCCAGTTTCCTATACAGAGGGGAAAAAAGCACAGAAAAAAAAGAATATGATTTCCTAATGCAGGGAACGTTTTGATAGGACTTAAGTTTTTCTAAAACTGTTAAGATTACCTGATGTGAAGTCAGACAGACAGAACAAAAGCCACTCAGTTAGTATGAGTAAATCCACATACAAATGATGACCACAACTTACCTCATATTGGGAATCATAAAATAATTTGTTAACGGAATAGTTCACTCAAAAATGAAAACGGCTGAAAATGTACTCACTCTAGATCCGTTTGTTTCTTCATCAGAACAGATTTGGAGAAATTTAGCACATCACTTGTTCTCCAATGGATCCTCTTAAGTGAATGGGTGCCGTCAGAATGAGTCCAAACAGCTGATAAAAACATCACAATAATCCACAAGTAATCAGCAAAGCTCTAGTCCATTGATTAACATCCTGTGAAGTGAAAAGCTGCTTGTTTGTAGTATTAAGGTGTTTTATCTTTAACTGTTTTGAAATGTTGTCACTTGTAAATGGTGCTTGATCTCAGCATATTTCTCTCTTGATTCAGACGAGATGACTTTTTCACTAGAGAAAGTAGTGTTAATCAAAGAGGACTTGTAATGGTTTGATGTTAAAAACGTCTAAATGATGGATTTGTTTTTTTACAAACATGCAGCTTTACGCTTCACAAGATGTTAATTTACAGACTGGAGTCGTTTGGATTACTTGTGGATTATTGATGGTTTTATCAGCTGTTGGGACTCTCATTCTGACGGCACCCATTCACTGCAGAGGATCCACTGGTGAGCAAGTGATGTAGTGCTGAATTTCTCCCAATTCACACCCAGTCATTTTAGTACAAACCTTCCAGAATACACTTCCCCACAACATGCCTGTAACTAGGTCATTCTTTCCCACCTCACATGTCTGCTCTTTCATTCTCGTTCACACAACTGTTCTATGAAAATCATTTTCATGTCCTAG